CAAGGCCCAAGGGTTTGGAGGAAGAAGGGTGAGGAACAGAACCCATACTGGTTGAGGTCCAGTGTGAAATATCCACAGTCAGTCATGATCTGGGTGCAATGTCTGGTGCAGGTGTTGGTAAACTCTGCTTTCTTAAATCCATGGTCACCTCAACAGTCTACCAGAATGTTTTAGAGGACTTCATGATTCCTTCTGCTGAGGATCTGTATGGAGATACAGATTTAATCATCCAGAAGGACCTGGCCCCTGCCCATGCCGCCAGAAGCACCAGAACCTGGTTTGATGCCACAGTGCCTGACTGGCCAGCCAACTGGTCGGACCTAAACCCCAGAGAGAATCTATGGGGTCTTCTCAAGAAGAACATGAGGAGCACCAGACCCGACAACAAAGAAGATCTGACAGCATCAAGGAAATCTGGGCTTCCATAACTCCCAGTCAATGTCACGTCGCATCGAGGCAGAAATTAAGACAAAGAGATTCACAACCAACTATTGAAGATTGACATATTGATTTGAAAGAACCATATTTTGATTGATTTGTTGTGATCCTAATTTATTTCTCTGCAAAAACTGAAAAGTGTGGACTGATGTCTTCACAGTGTTCTAATGTTCTGAAATCCTGTTTTCGTGGGTTTCATGAGCTGGAAGCCCAAATTATGTAAAAATAAATAAATAAATACTTGAAATCATTTAAATTGTGGGCCCTGAATCTATAATCTATTAAAGATTAACTTTTTGAATGAAATTATGGAAGTTAAACAACTTTTCCATGATGTTCAAATTTTTTTTGAAAGGGTCTGTATGAAACATTGGATCATTTTCCTCAATAAATAAATGACCAAGTATAATGTTTTTTTTTGTCTCATTTGTTTAACTGGGTTCTCTTCATCTACTTTTAGGACTTGTGTGAAAATCTGATCATGTTTTACGTCATATTTATGCAGAAATATAGAAAATTATAAAGACTTTACAAACTTTCAAGCACCTTTGTATGGTTCGATCTTCAAGATGTTTATAACAACCTGTCTGTTAATTTTATTCAAAAAATTGTCTCCAAGTTAGAAGGTCTTGTGCTGCTTTGTGTGTATGAATAATGATGTGATGTCATTCTCCCTTCTGTTTATTGCTTTTACCTTGTTAATTGTTAAAAATGAACAGACTTCAGAAGGTGGATGGAATAACCCCCTTTTGGAAGCCCTCTGTTGATTATGGGCAGATGGATGATAAAGTTTACGAGATTCTAAGAAATGATCAAGTTTTGTACAAAGAAATTAAAGTTTTAAAGTATCCAGCAGATCTAATGTTTTTCAGCAGGAAGTATCTGAAAAGACAGAGTTGGGCGACTGAAGAGCTGCCTCCATGCCGTGTGGTTTTCTGTGACTCATTTTACTAACCCAGAAACATTTTCATACATTTAAATGAATTTGGTTCACTCGTTATCCTTCTTTACTGTAAAAAAAAAAAAAAAAAAACTAAGAAAAATGTAGTTTTCATCTGTACAAAACACAAGTTTATCATTAAGTTTCTCGCATGCAACATTTGTATCTGCCAAGCATAAAACAGGTTGGAGCCAAACATGGCCACTTGATATAGACTTTTAAAAATTATTTTTCATTCTTTGATATATCTAGGAAGAAAAAAACCCCTGCAAAGTCAGAATTATATATTTAAATATGTATATAATCATTAGCTAATGTTCCATAAAGTTACATAAAATCCATGTCAGGGTCATGTTCCAGACTTCCTGATAAGAATCTTGGTGTCTGTTCTGTGATGAGTTCATGTGCTGAAACATTTCCTCACCAAACCAGTTTGTCTTTCCCTTTTCTGACTCTGACAAAAATAGACTTCATGTTTACATGCATGCTACAGCGTTGTGGTGTTAAAAAAGACACACCTCATGATTTTATTCATGATTTATGTCAGATTCTCCTTCATCTTTCTTTTTCCTCATTTCAGCCCATGGTACCTGACTGTGGTGTCTAAACGTGCAGCGTGTTCTTAAAATATCCAAGAACACTGAAAAAATAAAAAATATAGTGTTGACAGTTAGGCATCCACAGTGCAAAACCAACATTTATATGATAAGAAATAACAATTAAGGCAGCACGGTGCACAACTGGTAGAGCTGCTGCCTCTCAGCGAGCAGGTCCCTGGTTCAAATCCCGGTCCAGGGGCCTTTCTGGGTGGAGTTTGCATGTTCTCTCCGTGCTGCGTGGGTTTTCTCCGGGTGCTCCGGTTTCCTCTCACAGACCAAAAACATGCATGTTAGGCTGATTGGTAACTCTAAATTGTCCCTAGGTGTGAGTGTGAGTGTGAATGGTTGTTTGTCTCGTTTGTCTCTATGTGTCCCTGTGATGGACTGGAGACCTGTCCAGGGTGTACCCCGCACCTCGCACAGTGATTGCTGGACATGGGCACCAGCGACCCCGTGACCCAAAATGGAACGAGCGGGTAAAGATAATGGATGGATGGATATATACCAAATGCCCCTTTTCCATTAGTACCGGTACGGGCCGACTGGACCCTACTTGGCCCGGTTCGGAGGCTTTTCCATTAGTACCGGTACTTAGCACCTGTTACTATTTTCAGTACCCTTGGCTCTGTGGTTCTAACCCGAATGAAGAGGTACTAAAACGTGACGTCAGAACACTGTCGGTCACTGATTGGTCGGGGGCGGAGTCGGAGGCGGAGTCACTGGATCCTTCAGAAACTTTTCAAAACAATAATCCGGCCAAGACACCTCTCCATCTGGACCGACCGCCAGGCCCGCTGAGCTCCAGACCAGAGAGGGACAGAGCCCCGAGGGCTGCCAGAAGCAGTACCAGCAGCCCACACATCCGAGGGCCGCCAAGACCCCCAACAAACCGCAGTCAGGCCGCCACCAGATGAGGCCAAACCCCAGCAGGACGACCCGGTCAAGAGCGCCCGCCCAACCGCCGACAGAGCCAGGAAGCACCGGGAGCGAGCCCCCACCACAGGAAAGGGGCCAACCAGTCGGCCATGCACAGTCCCGGGCCGCCCCCAAGGACATCCACCCAGCCCCCACCCCAGAAGAAATACTACACCCACCCCTCATTCGGACATCTCTCAAAACACATAGCACACTAGACACCTAGGCTGGGTCAAACTACCCCCTCTTAGGGGCCACTGGTCACACCCCCAAACACCCAATCCCCCAGCCCATGAACCCACAACCCACCAGCGAGCCGAAGGCCACTGCCCAGAACCGGGCACCAGAGCGCAAGCTGGCCCAGAGACCGGCAACCCGCCCGCCAGAGCCCAAGATCCCCGATCCCCACAGGCCCAAGCCCGGGGGCGACAAGCCCCCAGAACCCCAAGCCCCCGCGCCCACCCAGAACCCACCCCAGCACAGCCAGGCTACCAGATCGGTGACCCACGACCGCCGCCACAGACCACCTGAGGGCCCGCATGCAGCCACCAGCAGACATCCCCCAGAACCACCCAGGCCCTCCCCAGGGCGAAAGCAGTGCCCCCCTGCCCAGGTACCCCCAAGAGCCCAGCCCCCGGCAACCCCCCCGGCGCCCCAAACACATACACCCGCCTCCACATCAACCTCAAGGCCCCACAAGGTCAGATCCCAGACTACCCACCCTCACTATGTAACGGAGCTGATCAAAGGAGCCCACAGAGATTGATCCGATGTGTCGGCAGATGCTGTTTCAAGACTAATATGATCTAACAAAAGATTTTTATACTGATTAATGCTAAGATTATTTTTATTTTTCCAATTCAGGAGTATGGTTTTCTTTGCGATGTATATATATATATACCATACCATACCAATTTATTTATATAGCACTTAAAACAGCAACAAGGCCAACCAAAGTGCTGTACAAAAGAAAACAAACATGCACAGCGGACAGGAAAACATAAAATAGAAATACAGATACAAATAGCAGCAGAAGCTAACTAAAATGGCCAACAGAGTAGAGAACAGACAGGACCAAAACAAATCACACCGTGTTAAAGGCAAGAGAATAGAAGTGGGTCTTCAAGCGAGACTTAAAGACTGAGAGTGTGGGAGCCTGCCGGACACTCAGTGGCAACTCATTCCACAGTCGTGGACCTGCAACAGAGAAAGCCCTGTCACCTCTGAGCTTACGACGGGTTTCTGGGACTGAGAGAAGCATCTGGTCTGCTGACCTCAGAGAGCGCGGTGGGACATACATATATATATATATATATATATATATATATATATATATATA